AAGTAGTATCCAGCCAAGTCCAAAACCAATAAATTTATCTGGCTTACTAATAGAGCATGGATGAGGACCTAGTGGCCTGCCACACTGGAAAGTCTTCACCCAGTATGTATAAAGGCTTCCCCAAAGCCACATAGACGAGCCTCCTTCTGCTAACCTTCCTCTGCCTCCCTGCCTGCCTATGTGCACTCTCTCACACCTCCTGAGACCTGGAGGCCATGTGCAATTAGGGAAGAATTGCATACAAATGGGGGAGAAGAATGGCTAGAATCTTAGGCCAGGATCCAATGACCTTCCTTGCCCCCTCTCTGAGAGAATGCCAACAGTCAACAAGCCCATGGAGATGGACTCATAAGCAAACATAGCTGATCTGATAAAGATGGCAGCTGTTCTGCCCAGATTTTGGTCAGAGGACAGCACTCTTCAACAGCAAGGCTCTAGTTTGATGCCGAGCATCACAATGATAAGATACAATTACAATATATATATTTTTCTTTTTTGAAACAGTCCCAGTTGAGCTAAGGCGGGCCTCAAACTCATGGGAATTCTCCTGCCTCAGCCACCTCAATGCTGGAATTATAGATATGAGCTACCCTACCACCTAGTTGTTCTCTGACCTCCACATGTGCACCATAGTGCATGAACTTACACAAACACGTGATGATGATAATAAAGTTTTAAGGCTGGAGAGATGGCTCAGTGGTTAAAAGCACGGGTTGCTCCTGCAGAGGACCCGAGTTTGGTTCTCAGCACCTACATGGCAGCTAACAACTGACCTTAATTTATTCCAGGGGATCTAATGTCCTCTTCTGATCTCTGAGGGCACTGCACAACATGGGTGCACTTACATACATGCAGGCAGTACACACATACACATAAAAAATATTAAAAAATAAAGTAAAAAAAAGGCAGGCATGGTGGCTCATGCCTTTAATCCCAGCACTCGGGATGCAGAGGCAGATGGATCTCTTGTGAGTTCAAAGCCAGCCTGGTCTCCATAGTGAATCCAGGACAGCTGGGGCTATAGGGAGACCGTCTCAAAAAGACCAAAATAAAAAAAAAGTAAAAAAAATCTCACTTCCGCCTATAACCTACCTCACCACCCATAACAAACTTCCCAGAAACAGCTAAAGTTTCATTCAAATGCCTTGAGAGCCACCAATCTAAATTCAAATCCTGACTCCACCCTTTACCAGCTGAGTGGCCACAAAGTACTATTTTATCTGTTTCCTTATCTGTAAAAATGTGAATGTCTGCTTTTCTTGCTCATGTAATCCTGAGGATTAGATGTATTAATACACATAAAACAATACCTGGCATAAAGACCTCGAACTATGAGATTGGTAACACATTTTTACTTGTTAGTTTTATAGGGATAAACCCTTACAGAAACACATTCTTGAATTTTTCTATAAAAATTCTACACGGTAGTGCTGTTATTTTCAATAGGTATTAAATCTGGACAGAGAACTACACTCTCAAAATATCAATTATTCTGCAACTAGTTTAGTTGTTTGTGGAAAAAAAGGAGTTAGGATCCCTTCAGGATCAGTATGGAATTCAACTTGAACTGCCATGAGACCAGCTTTTCGTAGTAGCTTTTGATGTTTTCCCAAGAGAAATAGCTCTGTTCAAGCACATGCTTAGCATGCATGAACTCTGGGATCAATTGCCAACACTGCACCCCCAGGTAGCCTAACTAAAATGCTAAGTGGTCTACTTTTGCCAAATGAAATGCCCCCCATAAGTTTACATATTTGAACACTCAGTCCCCAGATACTGCTCTTTGTTTGCTGAGGTTTAGGAAAAAGCATGTCACTGAGGGTGGGCTTTGAGAGCTCACAGCCTTGGCCCACTTAGCTTGCACAGTCTGCTTCCTGTGTGTGCTTGAAGATGTGAGCTTTCAGCCTCCTGCTCCTGCCACCTGCTGCCAAGCCACCCTCACCTTTGTGGCTGCCCCTCTGGAACCTTAAGCAAAACCCCTCTCTCTTCTGTTATCCTTGACCCATGGTGTTTTATCACAGTAAAAGAAAAATAACTAACCCATATAGGTTCAAAAAACATTAATTTATCAAGGAAAAAAAATCCCAAATTAATAGGTGAGTTGCTTTTACTTACACATGCCATTTATTCAGGAAAAGTGGATCCTGAGGGCCCAGGACCATCTTAATCTCTCAGTGAATCAGAGTAAGCACAATGTCATAGAAATGAAAATTTTCTTTTTCCATAAAACCAAGCCTAGGGATGAAACTTGAAAAATGCAAATATACAGAAGTCATACCAATCTTCAATATAAATGCCTTCCAAAGTTCCATTTCAGAGGCAGAATGAGGGATTTAGGGGCAGTGATCTTTGAATCAAAACTTTTACCTTCAATTCTTTGCTTCACTGACTTCTGACAGTTTGGCAAATTGGGGGTCATCACGTTTAAAAGAAATGTCACCAAAGTTTGACAACAGGATCTGAGATTATATAAACTCCAAGTGCCTGTGCAATTTTCTAAAATGCAAGTTTCTAGCATTCTATAAGAAGTTATCAGATTTAAAACTTAGGCCTTTCTTTAAATGGCATAATTTAACAAAAGCATCATCCAGTTACGAATTAAGATAATGCTAAAAACCACATACCCCCGGACTCAAACCTTATGACATTTTGTTATTCTGGATGACTTAGGGTGTAGGCATGTGTAGGTGTTGGGGGGAATGAGGAAATTCTTACAGAAATTTTCCACTGTGATCCTAAATCACTGGCTCATTAGTATACATTCAGGAACCATTTCTTTGCCATTGGATACTACTGGCCACCAAGATGCTCCACTTAAAAATGGGTTTCTGGGCTGGCAAGCTGGCTCACAGGGTAAAAATGCTTGCCCTACAACCCTGATGACTTGCATTCACTTGGAACTCACATAGAAAAGCTGGATGTGCTGGTTCATGTCTGTAATTTTAGTAGGAGGAGGAGAAAGGACAATCAGGCAGCTAGAATATACAGAGCAGGGGCAGAAATAAAGAGAAAGACCTGCCTCAAAAGTTGTCCTCTGACTTCCACACATGGCAGGGCATGTGTGTGCCTATGCACACACATTCTCTCCCTCTCTCTCCACGCTCTGCAATGTGTGATCTTCCATAGCTTCTGGCTGCTAATGACAGCTGATAGAGGTTCTTCCTCAGCCAAAGCTGAAAATAGGTACATCACACCTTTGGTAATTCCCAGATCTTAGGACAAGAAGAGGCCACAGACCCATAACTGAACCTCTTTTCTATCCAACATTACTTTTGTAATTATTCTCCAACAAAAAATATTTTCCTTCAGGGGTTGGAGAGATGGCTCAGCAGTTAAGAACACTGACTGTTCTTGCAAAAGACCCAGGCTCGAATCCCAGCACCCACATGGCAGCTAA